ATATAATGATCAGTAAATTTCTTTAGGCATAGCCCAAATATAAGGCAAGAGAAGTTACTCCTTGTGAAATGGCAGCTCATGTGGATATGAGGTCTTGTAGACAGTGAGTTTTCCATCTCAAGCAATCTTCCATCTCAATGACTCAAAGGTGATTATCATCATAATCTCAATGAATATGGGGATTGTGAAACTATAGCCAAAAAATGGACCGGAAAATGTAAGGGAGAAGCCATATAAAGTACAAGAACTCCTGATTATTACCAGAGGTTTAATTGTAGAGGTTCACTACACTCCATGATGGGACCAGAATGTAGACGTTGGCCATCAGCAGTCTCAACCATAGTGCCAGCATTTATATTCCTGCTATAAATACCGTATCTCAAAAGCAGCAAACTTTCAGGCCACACAAGAATTTCACCTGGGCAATATAAGCTCTCTGACTTGAAAGCTTCCCGATCTAACTATCTTAAACAGTTGATTTTATCTATAATAAAAGTTATGATTTGATTGGGTCATGCATGAGCTCTGAAATCAGGCCCAGAAAGGGGAATGGCATTAATCTGAGACCTTATCTGTGGCCAGGGTAACTATTTCTAAAGTGGCAAGGTTTGACTGTCTATGTCATATACAGGGCCACAGAAACAAGCTAGGGGTCCTGCTGGTATACCAACCACAGACATCAGAGTCCCTCCCTGAGCTACTAGACCTGGTTGCTGGCTGGTGGTGGAGACCCCCATTACTGGTTTTTGGAACTTCAATCTTCATGCAACTGGCACTGGGTCTAGTCAAGGTCAGGAGTTTGGCTTCCAGGCAACCATGAGTTGTCTCAGATAATCATGGCCAATACATATTGGTAGACATATGCTAAACCTTGCCTTTGCTATGGAACAGTTGTTATGCAATCTGGACATGGAGAGTATTACCATCACCCCTTTGCCACAGTCATACCATTTCCTAGTCCAAATACAATTGACAGCCATCTATGACCTCTATAGGGCTGGACCTAATTGAATGGTCTACCCCAGGTATCTTATGGATCTGGAGGGCACTTCTTCAACAATCTGGTGGATGAATCTGCTGAGGGCCTGGTTCATCGCTGGAAATGTGAGACAACCTGGGCCCTTGATAAAAATCACCCATAAGTGGCCTCTTTCTATTGACTAATCCCAGGTAGCTCCTTGGTTGACCATGAGCCTCCAGGCAATGAAGCAGCAGAAATAAAACCTAGAGCACTGATAGCAAAAGACAAAAACTGAATAGATTCCACCATAGATACGTGCTCACCTTTGTGCCTACTCCATGGCAATAAGAGAGACAAAGTAACTTCTTTCTTACTTTGTCAGCAGGTTGTGCCTAACAGCAAGGTTTAGGGTGGTTAACCTCCCATTAAGGAAGAACCAGTATCAAGAACTCTGCCTGGATGACTGATCAATGAGTTCAATATTTTGCTTGTAAAGTGAGGGAGTCCAAGGCTGAAGTGAGATGAGAGGGTCCAAGCTCCTTGGAATGCCCCCCCCCCCAGTAGAAATCATATTAACTCTCAGTTTAACTACTTTCTTGAAGTAGCTTAACATGGAGCTCTTCTGGGAGGTATTTGGGTTGTACAGGTAGTTTCCAGTTTAAGAATGAATTCCGTTCCCAAGGTGTGTCCTTAAATTGAATTTATATGTAAGCCGGAATAGTAGTATGATTAAGTAGGATGGTGTAATTAACATGAACCATTGTGTATTTAACTTGAATCATTGTGTATTTAACTTGAATATTGCTACAATAGGCTCTGTACTTAACTATGGGTCATCCATAAACTGGGCATTCTTAATCTGGGGACTACCTGTAATCTCCTCTCGGTTGTAGTTTATAGGTTGCTGCTTGTTGGGTTGTTCATGTTCTACATAGGCACATGTTGTTATGCTTTAATTTAATAAGGTTATGCGTTAATGCTTTAAAATTAATTTAATTTTAATCTGACCATGGCCATTTTAATTGTATCGTATACCTGTGAACCATAAGAAACTCTTTGGCATTGTGGTAGGATACAAATATAATAAATAAATGATGTTGTCCATGCAGTATTAGGTAGAGGAAAAAGTCTTAGTTTTGTGAACAAGCTTTTATCTCTCCAATGGCATTTCATTTCTTTGTACCATGAGCCAAACAGATCTATCACTTGTTTCACAGGACAGCCCTGTGGGAATCACTGTCACCTTATTTCCCATGTTTTTCCCATTGCTAAAATAAGGATAAGGGAGGCAATTAAGCACATTTGAACCACAAAAGTGTTTGGCCTTTGATTTAAGGATTCCTGTGTTCTCTCCAAAAGGCCAAGGCCAAGGCTCTCTTTTCTGAAATTGCTCCTTTTCTTTTCTGTTCTTCTTTCTGTCTTTTGAAGCAGACATGAAACAGGAAGAAGCAAGGTAGAAAACCTGATTTCTTTTATTGTGGGACAAAACATAGCCAAGACACTTCCTGTTGAACCGAGGACTTCTCACTCAGCAGTACAGATGAGCTACAATTCTTTTAAAGCTTTCTCTTTGTTTTAAACATTAACCCTCTCACTGTGTTTGTAGAATTAGAGAAGTGCAGTTATTGCAGGAGAAATGAATATACTCTGTGAATAATGGAAAAACATTGAGCCAAGTCACCTTTGAAATTGGCATTAAATTCAGGAATCCATGGGAAAGAATAAACAAAGACTTTCCGTTCTATACTGTTGGAAGATAAGCTCCAGCCACAGGACACTTCTATCCAGCCACCAGCCACCTCCCTGAAATCCTTTCATACCTTTGCGCAAATGTCCTCACATTTTCAGCAACCATGCATTCACTAGACTAGTGCTTCCTCCGGCTAGTCAATGGGAGGGCACAAAAACTGGTAGCCAGTTAAAGCTGCACCTTTATTCATTTCTTGCAGTGTTTGATTTTTGCAATGATAAATAAAACAGGGGGAGGGATCCCAACTGGTGGGGGGAGGGACTGGCAAAGCAAAGAACACCATTAGTCTGTCTGGGGAGAAAGGAACAATAGTGGCAGGGCATTACAGGAAGAAAAAAATGAAATCCTGGTATTTGGGAAGAAGTGGCAAGTATGCAAGTGTAACACCAATAGGAAATACCCATCCCACAGTTCTAGAAGATACACTACAAACACTGGCAGCATCGTCTCTGGAGCAGATGCCAAGGCAGAAGTTATTTGGCTCCATTTCCCAAGATCTGTCCATGCCCCATGGCATCATAATTGTACACAGAAGGGATATAATTCTCCCTGTGGGTCTTCCAGATAGGAGCCCTGCAGGCATGCTAGATTTATAGTTACCACCATCTGCAGTCAATATGTCCAAGTTATATGAACTGCAATCAAATAGTTCTGAAGGACATTAGGCAGTTCTTTATTTATGGTAGAGAGATGAGGGCTTAATAAAGCAAGTTAACAACTGGAAAACAGACTGCAAATGCATGCATGTTATACAAACACAATCACTGTTCTTAGTGGGATCAATCTGTAGAAGGATGCATGAGGCTGCAGCAGATAGGAGACAGACTTGCATGAGTAGAAATACTTTCCATTTCTGCAAATCAATAATTGGACCCTGCCATCTTTCTACCACTTTTCTGGCAGGATAACTGATCAGACAAGTTCAGCTGGTGAATCTTTCCCCATCCCTATACCAATTGTTAAATTATGGAAGCATGCAACTAAAAGGAAAACATCCTTGGGCAAAATAGTGCCTTGTCCATAACTCAAACAAGTTTTGACACTAGAGCATCACATTAGGTGATCCATGTTGGATACCTGGCAGTGATTTCTCCTTACTAAATCATTTTGACTGTTTGAACTGGGAAGAAAAGGAAAAGTAATTTAGAAAACATCAGTTTCATTCTTACCTATCCATATGTATGGCGTTTGTGGCATCCTTCATACTAAGAACTGTATTTTCACATAAACCAGAGATACCTGCTACTCTTTAGAGCTTTGAATTACAATTTCCAAATTCTTTGACCCACAGTGTTCAGAAGGATCTGAAGGACTCCAAGTTGACCAGGATGTCTGCCCCTGACATAAGGTTTTGTAATTCACAGTGCCTAGATTTGAACAAAGATCCATTCATCACATCTGGGGAGCACAAAACTAGTGCTGAATTCTGGGAAAAGTTTTAAAGGTTTCAGGAAAAGAAAAAGCCTTAGAACTATTGTGCTAAGCAACCCTTGGTACAAGGCAAATGTTGGTTAAAAGTCGGACTGGTTGTGTTACTTAGAACACAAGAAACACACATTTAAAAAGATCACAGGCCCAGACAGTGAGACTGTCCAGGGTTAACAATAGGGTCAGCATTTATTTTCCTACTGTAAGTAGGATGTCTCAAAATCAGCAAACTTTCCAGCCACACTGGACTTTCACCTGGGCAGGATAATCTCTGACTTGAAAACTTTCCATTCTAGCCATTTTGCCCCATTGGTTCAATAAAGGGTATCATTTGAGTGACTTTTGTGCATGTCTACTGGGACGGACAGTATTTGGCAGAGGAAAGAGTCCTAGGTTTGTGAGCAAGTCTTCGTCTCCCCGGTGGCATTTGACTTCTCTGTACCATGAGCCAAACAATCGATCATTTGTTTAACAGCCCTATCGCCCACCTCCCAGCTTTTCCCCTATTGCCAAAAAAGACTGTGGGAAGGAGTCGAACTACTAAACGACCGAAGTTTGAAGGCTTTGGCTGCTTGCATTCGAACGAGGCGATCGGTGCCGCCCCATTCCCGAGAAACTGATCCTCTAGGAAATCAATGGCCATTAAACCTGGAAAACCACGCCTGTCCCTCTCGCTCCCACAGATACGCGCTCTGGCTCGTGACCACCCCGTCCGTCCCATCCATTCTCAGGGAGCCGCGCTGAGTCCCTTTCCAAGCCCCCTCCCGCCAATACAAGAGGCATCGGGCGGTGGGCTAAATGGCTCGCCCGTCGCCAGAGCCCTCGCCGTCCCTTCGCGCTCTCCCTGCTCCGGAGCCTTACCCTTGGTGTCTGCCCCGGATTCGGCTGTGCTGCAAGATCTGTTGGTAAGGGTTCGGCTGGCCGCCCAGGCGTGGTGACCCACAGAGCCAGAGCCAAAGAGAAAAGCAGTCCGGTGCGCATCGCGAAAGACGGGTGCGTGGGTGGGTGGGTCGGTGAGTGAGTGCGTGGGTGAGCGACACGAAGTGGAGCGATCGGCGGCTGAGTCCGCGGTCCCAGGCGAGCGACGGAGCAGCCCCGGACAGGGAACAGTGAGCCAAGCACAGCGGAGCGCCGGCGATAAATAAGGGCGCGAGCGAGGAGGCAGGACGGGGGCGGAGCAGGCCCCGTTTGGGCGGGGGGGAACACGGGCTCACTTTCCGACCGACTGTGAGCAGCCTTTCCCGCGAGGAGAAGCAAGCATGAAGAAGGAGACGGAGAAAGCAGGGCGTGCGGTCACCTGAAGCTCTCAGGGAGCTAAAGCTGATCAGGGACTTGTGAAAGTAAGACAGGAAAAAAGGGAAAATCTATACTTGGATACCATCCATCCACTTTCTACTACTTATCTGGCAGGCGAGTTGATCTGGCAGGCAAGTTCAGCTGGTGACTCTTCCTCCCTCCCTACCTCAGCTATTAAAAGAACATGAGTCTGCAACCCAAAAGAGAAATGGTGACTGCAAAAAATGTTACCAGAGGTATATTGTTTGTCCATATCACTAAAGAAGTCACTATTCCCATTTTAGGGAAAGGGAACTGAAGACACAAAAGTGACTCATTTACTAAGCCCATGAGATCATAATTAAATCTCAGTCTTAATACAGTTCTGCTGTTTTTACATCCTGGTCAATGCCTTTGTTAATGGCTGTACAGTTCCACGGTACTGTACATGAGATTACACAGCCAGTGAAAAAGAGAAGATAGTTGCTGCAACAAAATGAAGCATATTCCTAAAATCAATATGCTTTAAAATGCAGCACAACCAGAATAGCAATCAGGGAAAAGTTAGGATAGCTAGATGATAAGAGAATGAAAAGTTGCATTAAAAGAATATAGGGAGAAGGCAAAAAGCAATGAATGAAATCACTGCGCGCATCTTCAAAGAAGGAGTTTCCATTTGTGTAAATTGAGCTCAGCTTTGATATGCCCATGTTGTTTTCTTGACAACAATATGGAAGCAGTTTGCCATTATCTTCTCCTGGGCAATGTCTACTATGTATGACATTATCAAGCACATAAAAGAACAAGTCTCTGCTGCGAAGTTAAGATCTTAATATAATGTATTATATTAATAATAAGTTTTTACTTTATAATAATATTATATTTATTAATTATAGGTGTATTACTCAATACACCTGAACTGTAGTGACTAATCCAGTAAATAGTTCTGTAATATGTGTGACTTAGACCAAGATCAACCTGTTCAGGAACTGCTAGGAGAAAGACTAATTTTATATTATCAAATAATAGGAAAGGGAATGAAAATAAAGCCCTTGGGAGCAACTTTTCAGAGAGTTGCAGAATGAAAAAAGACAAAGTTTGCCTATTTGTTGCAGGAGAAACCCATGAATAGAATGCAGATCAGGAACTCCAGGGCAAGGCCATGATTTTTGTCCCACAGCCCTGCATCCAAATGACTCAGCGTGGAAAGTTAAAAAGAAAAATAGCTGCAGTCCTGGCCAGGGTAGATGCAACATGGGCTATGAGTACAGTTGGTGTTTCTGCTGGATGATGACACAAAGCCACAACCAGGACTGAGATTCACAGATCACAAATGTCTAACCCATTACTGGTCGGTTGCTCAGTGGGGTAGGATTTTTTTTAAAAACACTAAAATAACAAAGAATCTCATGGCACTTAAAGACTAACTTATTTATTATTCCATGGATATATGAGATAATGTGTTAGTATTTAAAATGCAACAAGGCTCTTGTTTTTGCTGCAAAAGACTAAAACAATTTCCTTCTGGAATCTAACAAGCATTCTGTTAAATAATGGGTTTTTTAAAAAAAAACACCATGATTTATAGAAATGCCTTGTTCAATGTTTTGTGTCTACAAATGTGCTGGAAATATTGACTATACACACATCGACACAAAAATGCTTTTATACTTATTTTCAAACTAAGCAGCCAAGAAATGACAGCTGCTGTACTATAAATCAGGAAATGAATTTCTCCCAAAGGTATCACAGAACCTAACAGAAGAAGCCTTTAGCTTGACAGAGATGTGAGTTTGTGAAATGTAACCACGGGCTTCTCATGCATAACCCATATTTCCTGGTGATGAAATAATTATTGTTTGCAGTATTCTTGCAAATTTTATCTACTGAGAACTCACTGTAACCAATAAATACTATAGCAGAGGGCCTGTAAACAGATAAATGTCCTACTTGGAAAAAATTGACTTTTCATTTGCAACTTGGGGAGACCCAGGTTCGTTGATAGAGGGATTGGTGGGTTTTATGAAATAAGAACCATTATGTCAACCTATGCCCTGGACAATATAAGATAACTTGTAGATTGGCTAAGTTGTTTGCTTATTTAAATATGATATTTCCCTAGGTTTTGAAATGGAAATTTATCATTATTCTAGAGCAACCCCACCCTCCCCAACTTAATAAATTTTCTTGCTAGTCAACCTATATGATAAATTAGATTAACTAATGGTAATCATGATTTCATCTCAAAATACATAACTTTTTTAGGTGTACTCTCAAAAATGAAAAATAAATGCAGGCAAAAAAATTTTTACTGGTGGAAGTATTTTTACTACAGCTAATGATCAGGTAGATCCAGTAAGAAAGTAATTATGCCTATTCCATTGAATGATTGTCTTTGCTATTTAAAATTTGTTTACCTAATCCACTGAATTATTGGCTTCATTAAAAACTTTTTTAAATGCTTCCACTTTCATGCTCATTTTCCTTCACCTACATTTTTCTTGTTGAACATTACAGTCTTCATCTTTTGAGAGAACATAGGGATATACTTACTACTATATATAACCAAGTAAGTTTATTCTATTTACAATCCCATAAAGAAAGAATACATTCAGATGGGAAACATCATCCTTTAGTTTTATGAGTTAGAAAGATGCTGCATTTTTTTAAAAAAAGGAAGTAACAATCAGGCAAGTAACCATTGCCAGTTTATAATGATTCATGTGACCGTTTATCCTAACAAAACAGTTTCATTCTGAGTGATTGTAGTTTGTGAAAGACATGCACACACATACATGCACACACACGCTACATAATAGATGAATGCCTGATTGCACAGATCTTACAGATGTTTACACACAAATGTAAAGACTGACTGCTCTCATGTGGCAAGTATGGCCTTGGATGCTTCTTAGTAGACTGCCACAGTAGATGGCCATTAACTGATCTTAGAAAAAGCTAAGCAGGATTGGACTTGGATGGTAGTACTTGGATGGGAGGCCACTAGGAAATTACAGGATTGTAGACTTGACTGCAATCAGTCAAGAAGAAAGCAAAGGCAAGGTGACTTCCATACTCTTACCAAGAAAACTCTATGGTCTTATCCATAAAGTCACCAGGAGTTCAGCTCAACTTGAAGGAGTCTTTACCTTTTTCTGCACTTACAGGATCTTGTTTTCTATCCAGCTTTGACAGCCTGACTCAAACATTTCAGGAGAACCTACTTGTGATTTTTTTGTGAAGTAAAGGGGGTTTTCCAGTAGTAATGTATGGCTGTGAGAGCTGGACCATAAAGAAGA